GTTGGACCACCGGTACGCCAGCGGGTCAGTCCCAAGCTGCCACTCGTCCAAGATGGACCGTAAGCCTGAAGACTTTAGCGACGGTTTGCGCCGCGTCTCCTGCTCTTCATCCGACTCTGCATCGGATTCACCTTCGTCGTCTGGACCGAGACCAAGTCGCGTTGAACCCAAGTGGTGGAACGCGAGTTGCACAGGTGGTGCGACTTCGGACGGATGGTGAGATGCGTTTCGGTGACTCGACGACGCAATCGACGAATTCGTCGGTCTCGAAACAAGAGCGGTGCTCAAGGCTGCATCAATGGCGATCTCGCTGCAGGCTAGTGCTAGAAGCTTTGCCACTTGATCATCCTCGTCGTCGTTCTGGGCGCTGTCCGCGAACGGATGGAGACGGCGTGCGATGCTGGGTAATTGATCCAAGCTGAAAGAGCCTCTTGACTGACATCCATGCACGCCAGAGTCCATAGGTGCATGCATGTTCGATTGCGCCTTCATCCAGGTTTGATTCAGTTCGTGCCAAAGGCCGACCGTTGACTCGGAAGTGCCTTCTTTGGCCACGTGCAGAGGTCTTGGAACCGCAAAAGAGGACGTAAATGGCATGTTCATGCTCTCGACCACCGCGTCGTCATCGTCCTCGTCGTCTTCTCGTTTGACAGACGTTTCCGATGTAGCGATGTCGGCTCTATGAAAAGACGTCAGCTATGCTCAATCAAGCTCATGGCCCAACACTCACAGGCTATAGATTCTGGCACCGCCCGAAAAGTCTGGTGCATGTATGTCTCTTTCGATCGACCTGCCTACGCCTTTCAAAAGTCTGTCCCAAGCTTCACAAGGCCGATCCTTTCCGACCGACTCGGCATTCGCCAGAATCTGCCGTTTAGCGTTGCGCAAGTTCATGACTTTCGCCCGCAACGTTCTGTCGATACTGTCCGATTCGGCTTCTGCGGCACCATCGGCGGATGCTCCAGGCGATAGCGGCGTTGCCCAAGCGTCAAGTTGAGCTCGACTGCTTCGAGAATAGAATTCTTGCGTGCAAAGCGATCCGTCTTGCATGGCTTCGACGAATGACCACCCGTCTTGAACGTCGAGCGAAGGTATAAAGCCTGCGCCTGCTCGCAAAGGCGAAGCTGGTGCAACGGTATTACCTCTGCGCAGTATGTACGGATCCAGAAGCAGTTGAGGTGGCTCTGCCACTGTGCACGAGTGGCTAAACATCGTCACTGGTGAGGACTGGCGCGAGGTCAAAGCAAAGTGTTGGATCGAGCTCGACGCGGAGGGAATCTCGCAAAGGGCTAGGCTAAAGTCGTCGCTCAGCCCGTTTGAACGGACTCGTGAGTGCGCATAGCGCAAAAGCGCTCTCCCTGGCATGCGATCGTCCAGCCAGAGCACCTCGCGCGTTGAACACACCACGTGTATAGACGTCGGAAGCCCGTAGCCAACTGGACCGACAGTTGTCGCGAGTGACGTGATAGATGCTGGACGTGCAATTCCGGTCATAGGGCGCGCATTGAGTAGGCTGGAATCGAGCAAAGTTGTGTTCGCCGTAGGAGACTGCTTGGTTGTTCGTCAGCGAGGGAATAGCGCAGGCAGGCGTACACCAGTCTCACCCGTAAATCATGCAGCGTGATATCGTCCTGTAGGCCGACAAGAGCACCGAAATTGTGCGCGCCAGCGTTTATTACGCGCGCTAGTCCGCTGTAGCCGGCTTCATGGCGCTTCTTGCCTCGTCTTAGGCGAAAAATTTCTGGAAGCTGTGTTGACAGGCCCCCTTGACTGGACAGCCGTCCCGCAGATCCGAGACACCAAATGAACAGGGAGCCTTCATTGTCGACCGCGAGACCGTCGCCGATGCTGCCGTAGGCTGATTGCGGCGTTGCGAGTGTAATGTCAGCAATAGGTCGCCTTCCAAAATTCGAGCTATCAAGCTCGAAACCACGCTTTAGCTTGAAGCGGCTTTCGTCGCTCTCGTCGAGAATCGCATACTGCAATCTCGTCTGCGTTCGCGCGCATATCAAAGCACTGCCCTCATCGGCCACCCTTGTGGCGAGAAGCTGGTGTACAGGATCTCTGCATTGAAGCAAGTTCCTGTTAACTGGCGAAATTCTCGCTCCTGGTTGAAATGGTTCCGCTGATACGCTGTCGTTCAAAGTAGTGGCAGAGACGGCGAAACTCGACCGGTGAGTGTCGGGTATCGACCAGAACGCGACTGCCGCGCCAGGATCGCTAGAATTCGAGCTGAGACACAAAGTTGCCAAAGCGTTGCCTTGATTCAAATCGCCGCTCGGGTCGTGATCTGGTCGACGGGTGTCTGCTGCGTCTAGAGCTGCGTGGAGTGCGAGCACTGGAGGCATGAACGCGCGCGGAGCGACGAGACACTGTTTCGAGGTATCAGCTAGGAGGGCTGAGGGACTCTCAATCCATACGACTGACAAGATTTTGCAAGATTTGCGAGTCTGTCGCCACTTTCGAGTTTGTTTTTGGCTCATTCCTGCCGGAACCCCTGAAAGTAGCTCGATGGACGAATCTCACAGAACTTTTGGCTTTCATTCTTCTCCCTAATAGGTAAAGGGACATGGCTGAGTGCATTGAAATAGATTTTGTGCGGCAATTCGTGCCTCACCCTCGTCATGATCAATTGCCGTTTGCAGATTCAGATGAACGCCGTCTTCTCCATCTGATACTCTGCTCTTGTCCAGTCTGGCCGCTCCCAAAGCACCTGGCGTGATGTGCAGCGGCTCTGGCCATCTCTCGAGGTCGTTCAAGCGCTCGAGAGTCCATGCCGAGGTCGTGGCTTGCGGCATGGGATATCGACATTTATTGTGCTGCTTTTGGCAAGCGCTGCATGGATGTCGGCGGTCACATCGCTCAGGACCGGCGCCAGAGCTCGAACCTGCGACGAGCTGAGATTAGCCAAGCCGGTTTCAAAATGATACGCCATTGGGCGCCGTTCAAGTTGTCACGCACATGACTGGCATGGGTCCCGCCCCATGCGATCGTGACCAGAGCTCTCTTTGACCGCGAGGAAACCAAAGGGGCCCGAGCGTCGGTGCTTTCGACCTTGATCTGCTCCTTGGCGGACAGTTTCACTACGCCCTCTCGCACTGAAGGAAGCAGCAATCTCAGTCTCCACCGACAGGCATTCCGCCTGAGTGCTTTCGCTGTATCATGCCGGCTGCGACGCACAGGCCGCCATCAACGAGCGTTGCCGCCCTGCTCGAACAGCCCGCAACCGATGACTGGCAGTCTAGTCTGGACCAGATTCGACGTGCGCTCCTTCTCGAACCGCTTCCCTCGGCGACGGCAGAGACGAGTTCGGAGCACAAAGTCTTGTGGAAGCTGCTGCTGCGGATGCATGTGGCGCCTGGACTCGAGACGGACTCGGTGCACCCCTTGCTGCAAGCTGCTGAATACATCAGACTGATGTGAGTCATTCAAGCCCAAATGAAACGTCTGCGCTCATTCGCTTGGCCCGAAGCGACAAAGGTCCAAGCGCCATGCTTGATAAAATAAAAGAGGACGCGTCGAGAACATTCGCCACAGACAAATTCTTCGCCGAATCGATTGAGCCGGAAGCGATCATTCGCGTTCTTGAAGCATTCGTGTGGCGAACAGAGGGTCAGACTTTTCTTCAATGAGGTATACTGCGTGCTGATGCTCTCTTGCGCAGAGCGTCAAGCATCCTCAGGCCTTCAATGCACAACAGCTTATGTCCAGGGCATGAATGTGCTTGCAGCAACGTTTTTGCACGTGACGAGGAATGAAGTGGAAGCTTTTGCGTGTCTGACTACGATGGTCGAGCAGCTGGCGCCACGTTACTTTGTACTGAGTCTCGACGGAGTGCATGACGGCCTCGAGGTAAGCACGGTGCAGACGGAGCCAGGCCGTTTTTGACGTGATTGTGACAGCTGGTCGATCGGTGTCTAGAGCTGCTGGACCCCGAGCTATTCCGTTTCCTTCGCGAGCATGCCATCAATGCAGAACTCTGTGCATTCGCTACCGTGCTTACCTTTTCGGCTTCGACTCCCCCGCTGATCGAGGTCGTCGCGCTTTGGGACTTTCTGCTGGCCTGGGGGGTGGGCTTGAACGTGCTTTGCGTCGTCGCGCAATTGTCACTGGCTCGAGAGGAACTCATGGGCTCCGCCGTGTAAGCCCTTGCGATCAGAGGTCGAATTGTCCATGTTGACGGTGCCAAGAGCCTCGGCTTGCGCAGACCCATGTCGATACTACCAAACCTTCCAAGGCTTCGCACAAAAGAAGTGATCCCTCTTGCGGTGCACTATATCACTGTGCTACCGCGAGAGATGTACGGAGCTATAGTCGAGCACCCCTGGCAAGCCGAGTGGCGCGCCCGGTAGGCGCAAGGTGACCGCCATTCATTATCTCATCGTCGCTTCTGTATTGCTATTCAAACATTCTGCCGGCGGCGCTTGTTTGTCTGTGCACGCTCGTATGTCAGGACCCCCAATGCGACCGGGCCCAGTCACGTCTTCTTCGAAGCATAATCGCTTCTGCCGTTCGAGAGCACACCTCACGGGCCACACAAGGTTCGTATTGCCTGCATGAGGACTAGCCAACAGTGGAACATTGCATGTTCGCCCAGCGGCGGACCTGTGCGTAATGACTGGGCAGAGCTAGACAAGAGCCGGATCAACGTCCTTGGAGGAAAGGAATTTCCTGGAGCTCGCAGGAGCAAGCTTGAGTAGCTTGCTTACCGCCTGCCAGTGGATTGCCCGCTCAAGGCGATGTTTTGATCCTTTTCTAAACAGTTTTTTTTGACTATCCATTGCAATTGATCACTTGGTCATCTGTAGGATAGAACGGGGAAAGTACAAAAATCCAGTACGGACGAAGAAGAGTCCTCAGCTTCAGTCCCTAACATTCTCACACAATCTAATGGAAATTCTCTCAAATTGAATAAAGTGAAATTCTGACAAGTCTAGGACACCTCCTATCTTAGACAAAAATAGACATGATATACAATCACGGAAATCCCTGATGTCGACGCTCCCGTAGCACAGTGGTAGTTGCGCTTGCCTAGTAATTTCTCTCTTCACGTGTACGAGAGCAAGAGGTCCAGAGTTCGAATCTCTGTGGGAGCAAATCTTTTTTTTTGCCTTGAGACCCATTGTGCCATTCCTGTTCCTGTTCTGCCGCTTCCTTCACTGTTTTGCAGCACCCGAGGGCGTGATCGTAGTGCGACGAGGAGTTTTTCTTTTCGAAGACAATCGCTATTGGCCTTGCAAACAAACACATGCGTTTCATATGCATCGAGCTGACTAACACTCAATACCTGCTTCCTTTCATGCTTGTGCTGCTCGGCAATCCACTCGCTGGATGTCTGTCGCCACCGAGATATGCCGCGGGCACCTCGTTGACAGGTTTGCTCAGTCCTGTTTGCTATTCATCGTCACGCAGAACTCGTGAACATGCCGTGCATATCACCCGCTACGACACAGAGATTCGCCGAAGAAGCCGTGCAAACGATTTCCCCCCATCCACTTGCTTCGTAGACCTCAGCGCATGACCCGCGAGGGATGTTGGAGGACAAATCGTGAAGTAAGATCCAAAGAATACAACACAGGATTATCGCGTACAATGCCACAACACCACGACCGCGTCATGCGTTCTCTTCCGGAATGTTAAACTTCTTTTTCTGCTCTGCGAGTTCGCGCTCACGTCTTGCCAAGTCTGCCTTGTTTGCTTCACGTTCCGGCTTGTGGTACAAGACTACGAGGTATCTTTCCTGCAAGTGGAAGCCGTTAAGGTGATCAAACGCTTGCTTGGCCTGAGCAGTCACAAAACACGCGTCAGCATGACGACAAGCACAGGAGAGGTACAAGTCAGGGCAAAACACACATCCACCAGATCCTCAAACACGACGAAAGCAGTTCCTCGAGTCTTTGGGCTGTTGCCTAGCCGGATCTGCCTGATTGCGCCATACTTGCCGAACAGATCGTACAAGTCATCGCCCCTTGTCTTATAGTTGAGGTTCTGTTCACAGCGGTCATATCACAGTCAGCTGCTTGCGCGGCACAGGCTTCTAGGTGACCCAAGTCATAGTGCTCAGGCGCGCCGACTGTTCTGTCTAGCGGTGATACGCTGCACAAGCGACTCTCGGCCAAATTGGCTTGTCGAGATGCTACACACAGCGTGCTGCTCACCTTGACGAACAGGATGCGGTTGGCGTCGGGTGGGATCTTGCCGGCAGCAGACATGGCAAAGTCGAGCGACGGGAAATGTACAGAGGGAAACAAGAGAGTGCTGCTCAGACGCGAACGTGATTGCGCTGCAAGTTTCGCGTGGGAGTATCTCGAGGCAGGATGGTATCGGTGGAAACGCAACTTGCGCTTCGTCCGAATCTTTTGCCGCGGCGCAACGCGTCAAAGCCATGTTTTCATTCTCATTCGTGAGCTGCTTGCAAAACCTTGGGACCGTGAGAGTACACGCCAGGATGGCTGACGACCTCTGCGGCTTCAGGACATTGACGAGTCTGAGCTTGACCAAGACCTGGCCCAGTCAGCCGCCTCTCTGCAGCAGCTTGACCTAGCAGAGGACACGAAAGAAGCTTCGACCAGTAACTCCGTGCCTCATTCAGTCTTGGACCTCACTGAACTGGTTAGTCCTCGCTGGCGCTCTCAGCATCTGCGCCGAGGCCACAAACTCCGAAAGATTAAACATGCTGGCTGTTGTCGCCAGATTGCATCACTGCCTCCCTCCATCTCGTACTCACCCGTGACCATCAAAACATCGGGCAAGGATATCTCACTTTTGCGCCGAGACTTGTTTGACGCGCGATTTCAAGTGATCTCTTTGCAAGACGAACACGGTCCGGACGATAACAGCACAAGCAACGACTTCAAGGGCAAGCAGAAAGAGACGTTCGTAGACAAGGACACGGATCTGGTCAAGGGAGTGTACGAGGGCGGGCTCAAAACGTGGGAGTGCAGTCTTGACCTCGTCAGAGTGGCGGACGAGATGGCTTTCGGAGGCACAGACGGCTCCGTCAGAGGCCAGAGTATCATTGAGGTCCGTCATTTCCTAGACACTTGTCTGCTCATTTGCTGACTTCGATTCATAGCTTGGTTGTGGCACGGCTTTGCCCTCATGCTCGATCTTTGCTCGCTTGCTGTCCGAGATCAGACGGAATCCTACCGATCCCGAGAACGTGAAACCAAAGAAGACGAGGATACACGTACAAGATTACAACAAGCAAGGTTGGTTAGAATCTAGTTTCTAGTGCCATCGTCACGAGCTGACACAGGCGCGACTCCGACGGCGCAGTCATATCGCTCATTACGCTGCCCAACATCCTTTTGACGTTCGCACAACACCTCACAACCCCTGCAAATGCACCCGACGCAGATGAAGACGCACACGTGCCGTCACCGGGCGAGCTGGAAGTCACTCCCCAGTTCCTCGACATGTTTCAAGATTTGCTCAATCGCGAGAACGTCGAGCTCGTCTTTTCCGAGGGAGACTGGGCTGACTTCGTCAAGCAAGGCATCGACAAGTATGACGTCGTGTTGACGAGTGAGACTGTTTACTCGCTCGACTCGTTGCCCCCTCTATTGGATGTCTTACAGGCTTCAAGTCGATGCGACACGGTGTGTCTGGTCGCAAGTAAGCGGATTTACTTTGGTGTGGGTGGAGGTGAACTCGAGTTTAAACGGCAAGCGGAAGAGAGAGGTTGCCGAATCGAGACAGTGTGGCCAAAGGACGACGCCACGAGTAGAGGCGTAGCGCGCGTTGTGATGCAGTGTATATGGCCGCAATAGGTGCGCGGCCGTCATTGATGGTGGAACAGAATCAGATGGCTCTCGAATGTTGAAAGCACGATGCGCAGATCGCGTCGCGTAAAGCCCGTGCGATGTCGGATCTCATCCAGGTGATGTGCTCCGTTGAACATGCGTACCACTTTCTCGAACCTCTGAACGGCGTGCTTGTCCTTGTCGCGACATATTTCATCAATCCACTTGCGCTCGAGCGCTGTCGGTCTTCCGGGCTCGACGATCACACTGGTTCCCTTTTCGATATCTTCCGGACGCTGACTTGATTGACTAGAAAACGTTGTCCCAGAGTACGCACGAGACAAGTCCGTCTTTCGTCTTGCAGCTTGCAGCAGTCGATTCCCGCTCTGCTGTGACCTGGACATGAGCGCAGAAGGTGGAGGGCTGCCACTGAACGCGGAACCAACGATTGACATGTTTTTGGTGTCTGCCAGATCGATTTTTGAACTCGTTCGTGATTTCTCGCCATAACTCGTTTCGCTTGGACTCTGTCGCCCACCGTCGCTTGCATTTGAAACATCGTCTCGATGTCCTTTCTGATTCGAGTGGCTCCACTTGAGCATCGCAGCCTTTTTGACCTCTTCCGAAATCATGACACGAACGTACGTGCGCTGCTTCTCGAGCACGTCATTCTGCAGCAGCCAAACGAGCGCCTGAAAGTACATCGGCCTGAGAGTTGGCGTCTTCGTCGTCAGATTCGAGAAAGACTCGCGGGGATGCAGCCGTGACAATATCAAAGGCAGAGGCTGAAGCGTGGGGAAAGCCGCTGCAAAAGCTCGCGCACGCTCTGGCAGTCTGTGCATTCTCAACATGCGTTAATTCAATTGAGCAGTTTCGGAGGAATGCTGATCGACTCACGTCGACATGTCAAATTCTCGTCTGACGGCGTAAGCGCTTCTGAGTGAGACGACATCCACGACTTTCGCCTTGCGCCAGTGTACAAGGTGCTGCACGACGGTGCTGAGCGTGCCGTCCTGGCCATTGAGATCGAGCAGCGTTTCGTACTCGGCGAAGCTGACCACCAACTGTGTCAGCCACAGGCAAAAATGACAAGCTTTATTTCTGACCTGAGCGTAGGACTGCAGATGTCGAGAAAGCGCCACAAAAGTGACCCCTCTTCGACACTGCGCTGCATATCGTCCGTGTCCTCGAGAGGCAAAAGTGTTTGCCAGGGCTGAAACCGAACTGGAGGTCGCTGCCTCATCTTGGAAAACAAGGGCGGAGGTCTCTGCTTTTGGTAAGGCTCATGCGATGGAGACGGCGGCCGAGCGTCGTCGTCATTCGTGTCTATCTCTGTCGTAGGTACGAGCGCGCTCTCGCTCCAATGGCGCTCGAACAAGTCCAATTCGTCTTCGACTGCAACCTCACCGCGCAGCAGAACCTGCACGGGAAGAGAGCCAAACGAGACGTTTGCTGGTTGTCGGTGCTTGAGTGCCGAAAACAATTGGTTCAGGGCTGTGACGAGGTCCGAGACGCTTGAAAGTGCTTCAATTCTCTCGTGATCTTCAAGTGCTTTCCCTTTGAGCTTGTCGTGAGCTTTGCGCAACTTGGCCGCCTCCTTGCCGAGCCACCGTTCTCGTTTTTCGAGCGCTTTGAGATTGGCTGTGATAGGAATGACTACGTCCTTGTAGTAACCTTCTAGGTGACTGGACAGGTGCGAGTCTGGTGGCGTGTCGACAACGCACACAAAGTTGAAGGACGAGAGCCTGCCTTCGCCGTGGATCGAGCCATGAGACTGTTGAGACGAGGTTATGGACGCCAATGGCTGCAGCGTGTTGGTTGAAGACATTGACCGAGACAGCGGCACCCTTGCTGACGGGAGGCGGCCGCGTGATGATGATCTCGATCTGCTGCTAGAGCGTGAGCTATCCGAGCTCGCTCGTGACGGCAGCTGAGGCTGATCCACGTCAAGCTGATGTCCGGCACCTGTACGAGACTTCGCTCTGCCTCGACTCTCATCGGCGTCCGTTCCTGGCTTGTTCTGAGTCGTCAAAGGTTCATCCTTGTCGCCAAGCCAGACTGGATGGCCAACGAACGCCAAGTGGTCGACGACGAGCTCGAAGGGCTGATCGCAAAGCTCGCGACTTGGACTCAGCAAAGCTGCCAGGACGCTCGAGGGGAAAGCAAGATACGAGTCGGCTACAGCGGCCCCCTCGTCTGCGCCAGCGTTCTCGCCAAAGTCGCTGTCGTCCGAGCTGGACGAGTCTGACGCGGCGGACGAGTCGTAAGACTCTGGAGTTGACACGCCACTCGCGTGCTTGCCCACAGCGTGCTGGCGGCGTGCGTGGTGCGAGCGCCTGGCGCGGCCTGTG